GGCCCCTTTTCCCGAGCTGCTTCCTCCACGTGTCCAAGGCAGGCGGTGGTTTCCGTTTCCTAAAAGCCCAGTGGGGCCAGACACCGATCCCAGGCAGAGTCAGCGAAACCAGAGACGCTCCCTGCAGCTCCGGTTCCCCACAGCCCCAGCCAGCGTAAGCGTCCTGCTTTGTGGGCTCGCATCACGCGCCGCAGCCCTTCACGCGTCGCCTGCCGGCTCACGCGCCTCCGCTCTGCGATGGACACCAGCCCAGTTCTCCCGGCCAGCGCAGCGCGTAGCCAAAGGGCCCCCGGCTGCCCGGTCAGCTCCCAAACACGCGTGGGCAGCGCGGCTCAGTCTCTTCCCCCCCCTGCCACTGCCACTGGCTTGGAAGAGCCGGGCAGGAGCTGGTCCTTACCCGTCAGCCCGGAGGAAATCCCAGCTCCCTCCCGCCCCGTTGGCTTTCATGCTGTCCTAACACAACAGCGCTTTCTAACCCGTCTCCCAACAGATGCCAGAGACTTTCCCCTGCAGGGGGCTGCCCAGCACAAACAGCTGAGCAGAGCTAGAAATCTTCCAGCCACCTGGCACTGCCTGCGTGGGGCCGGAGCAGGAAACGTTTCTCACCCCGAGCGCAGTGGGTAAGATGACCCAGCCCCGAGTGCAGGCCGGCCGCCTCCCCTCCCGCAGCCCGGCATGCCGCCTCGAGGGCTCACCCAGAGACATGCCCGGGAGCACCAGGCACTTGGCGCGAGTCCCCATTTAGGCTACCAGCAGGGGCGGCAGGTTTGTGTAATTTTTAGTGGTGCCCAGAATGGGTCTAGTCCCCCCCCCGTAAGCCGATATATATCTGATTAAATAATGTAAAAATGGACTGGAAACCATAAGCGTTTAACAGTTTCCCTTTGCTGCACAATATCACTATCAGAAAAAAAATTAACTGAGCATATCAACGTTATTAATACTCGTTTGAATATGGAACGAACCCATTGTGGATTCCATTGTGCGTCAAATATATTATATCGTATTTTGTTGTACCTGTTGTGACGAAGTGGGAATGTTCTTCATGTTTTCTCTGATGGACACATGGCCAGAAGCAAAGTCCCCTCTCCAAGGACTTTTCCCACCATCCTCCTACCAATAGGGATTAGTTTGGCCCCCACCAAACCCCCCTCATGCAACTATCCTGCAATTGCATTAACCCCACTGCGTGTGACATTAGCTCAGGGGCGGGGAGGCAGAGAGGCTGGAGGAAGTGTTCTCTCTAAGAGTTTCCTCCCATGAGCAGAATGAATTTTGTGTTGTGCACCAGTACTGAGTTCATGCTTGTTTGGATGTGCCACTGTGGCACCCAAGTTATTAAATAAATATCTCAGGGTATGTCTACACTACCCTCCTAGTTCGAACTAGCGGGGTAATGTAGGCATACCGCACTTGCAAATGAAGCCCGGGAGTTGAATTTCCCGGGCTTCATTTGCATAAAGCCGGCCGGCGCCATTTTTAAATGCCAGCAGTTCGAACCCCGTGCCGCGCGGCTACACGCGGCACGGAGTAGCTAGTTCGGATTAGGCTTCCTCATTCCACGAGGAGTACAGCTAGTTCGGATTAGGAAGCCTAGTCCGAACTAGCTACTCCGTGCCGCGTGTAGCCGCGTGGCACGGGGTTCGAACTAGCCGGCCTTTAAAAA